GCCGCCGCCGCCCGCAGGCCGCTCGGCTCAGCGCAGTCTCCTCGCTCCGGTGCACGCAGGTGCCTCCTCCCGGACGGCGGCCGCGGCGGCGCGAGCACCCGGCGGGCAGCGGCGCGATGGGGCCCCTCCGAGAAAGCAAGGTAAGTGGGCAGGGCGGTCAGGTGGTCGCTGGAGGGTGGCGGGGACATCGGGGTCAAGGGGGGGCGGAGGTAGGAGGTGGCAGGGACCCTGCGGGGATGGAGCGGCACGTGCTTGGGTATTGAGACCTGTGAGATGAGGAGCTGGCCCGGGAGATGGCGATTTGGCAGGGTGACCGCGGTATTAAAAAGATTGGGTCAGGAGGCTTCATCCCATCTGACATTGGGACTTTGGAAGGGGGCTTCCAGGGGATGTGCCGTGTGTGTGATGTGAAGAAAAGGGCTGCGGTGTGTCCTGACTGCGTGTCAGTGACACCAGATAGGTGTGCTCAGCTGATAGGTGATGCCCGCCGGGTGACTGATGTGGGCGCAGACCAGACGCCGGGTGCGGCTGGCGCCCCTGGAGAGGGTGCCCGCCTGCACGGCCTTAGAAGTTCCCACAGCCGGGCTCACCCAGAGGGCCTGCCGCTGGTGTTTACGTTGGCAGTGGCACCTCCTGGTAAACCGTGTGGAAATGCGCAGGAGGTCATGTTGCGAAATGGTGTTGCTTACTTAATCCAAAGCGATTTTTCAATTGCAGAGGTTGGAGGGAGCAGTGTTTTGTTTTTTGGGGTTTTTTTTGGTGGGGGGGCGGTGGGGGGGGTGTTAAAAGGAACTCCAACTCCTGTGCAAGGAGTCCATTTTAATGAGGCAGTGTGGTGGTGACCCCGAAAAGCACAGCTTCTCGATAATATATTAAGCACCACCACCACTTCTTTTAGCCTCCGTGTCCCCATCTGTAAACAGCAAAATGAATGGGTGCCCTCTCCCTGTTATCTCCCTGGGGGTGGGGAGATCAAATGGGGTAATGGCTGGGAAAAGACTATGCATTGGAAACATAGCTCAAATACTACTTTTTGAAATGCATGTCATTTTTTGACCAAAGCATGGCTCTGTGTATTGAATGCTGTGTTTCCTGAAGAGGGAAAGAAAAATCCCTTTGCGTGGGCATCCTGTAAGGAAAGCAAAAGCTAAAATGATGGGGAAAGGTGGAGCCATCTTACCGGGTATCGGATTTTTGTTTGCTTTTCTGTTGGCAACCAGCCTTGTGTGTGCCGGGATGTTAATGAATAATTAAGATCCTGGCTGGAAGGGGAGGGATTGGAAAGATAAGACTATGTGATCTACCAGGAAGAAGTTCCAGGTGGGGCACTAGCTTGTGAGGAGACAGGAAAGGAGAAATCAAATGGTCACAATTATTTCAGGAAAAACAAAATGGAAGTCTGGAAGAAATCAAGTTGTAAGGAGGAGTGTGCGTGGTGAGTAAGGAGTGGTGTTTGCGAGAGCCAAAGGCTTGAATGTAATAGAAAATCCAGAGTAGGGGAGATGAATTAGGAACTGCATGGGAGCAAGGTGGCCTTCCTACCAGTCCTTGGAAGTGGAATTGTTCTTCCTCAGACAGAGAATAACTGACATTAGCTCCGTTGAAAAGTTTTGCAGCTTATTTCATCCCCCCTGAGATCAGAAAGACTCCGATTCTAACTTCTAAAATCCCTTGTCCAGAAATGAAATTTCTTAGCAACAGAGCCCTGGAGAAGCAGACAGACCGGAGTTGAGAGGGGAAAATGTTTTTCCTTTTGTTTCCTTTTTATGTCCGATGTTGAGAAGGAGCAGAGAGTACAGCATCATGAGAAGGAGATCTCCCGGAGCCGAATTCCTCGTTTGATTCTTCGGCCCCATCTGCCCCATCAGCAGCACAAAATCTCCCCGACCTCGGAGTCTCCCTTCTCTGAGGAAGAGAGTAGAGAGTTCAATCCCAGCAGCTCTGGGCGCTCAGCAAGGACCATTAGCAGCAACAGCTTCTGCTCAGGTACAGTATCCACAGGAGGACAGCCGGGAGTGAAGTGTGTTCGATACAGATACATGGTGCGTGGACTGGGACTGCTAATGGGATAACTCATATAAATATGTTTCTTTGGGGCATTTTGACCTTAAAGAACAATTTTATGTGGTTTAATCTGGTGGACTTCCATACCTATTTGATATGTATTCTAGTATATAATTTAGAATTTGATGTGTAACTTTCTATGACTTAAAAACAAAAACAAAACTCCTGCTTTGTTAAACCTGGAACATATTATATTACATTTTAAATTTACAGAAAACACCAGCAGCTCCATGAGAGAAAGACTAAGCTTTTGACTCCCATAAATAGTTACAGTCCCAGAAACCCATAAGGGTCGCTATGAGTCAGGATTGACTCTATGGCAGTGAATTCTGAGTGAATGAGGTAAGAGATAAACCTACCTAAGGAGTCCAGGTGGAAGAGTGGTTTCGTGTTGGACTGCTGACTGCAAGTCAGTGGTTCAAAACTACCAAGATAGCCTCGGGAGAAAGACTTTCTACTCCCATAAAGAGTTACAGTATGGGAAATTCACTGGGGTAGTGTTCTACCCTGTCCTATAGGGTCGGTATGAATCTGCATGGATTCCATGGCAGTGAGTTTGCTGTTTTTGTTTTGATAAGCTGTTTTTGTTTTGTACTTCTGGTTATGGAATCCCCAAAGATAAAGCAACTTCTACTTAATGAGATCGAGATTAAGATCAAAGAGGGGAATAACAACCCAAGACCTAGGGCTGGCCTGGAATTGTAGTGTAAAGGGGGGACCACAGGCTTGTAAACTGCATGTCCTAAACTGAAATCCTTGAGGACGTCCTCTTAACACTTCAGGCGTACCTGTCCCTTGTCCCTTAAGCTTCAGTTGTTATGTTCATAGAGTAACACCTACCTTACTGTGTTGAGAGGTTAACTGAGCACGTACTTAAACGTCGGAGTTCAGTAGTGCAGGCTTGTGGAGGGAGTTCCGAATATGAAGAACTATGATGTCGTTTTGGGCACCTCATCAAGGAAGTGTTCTTATGATTGTGAGCATTTTTGGTAAAGACACTCCCTTTGCAACTCCTAATGGTGCTACCATTATCACTTTATAGAACCTGTTATACTTAGTGAAGCCCATGACTTAGAAGAAATGCTGGCTCTTTGAGAGAAGTCTTGGGAATTTGGGTACATTGTAAAGGAATGACTGTCCTCTAATTACTGGAGTATGTTTCAGAGTGAATTATTTTTTTAGGACTTACCGTATTTAGGGTAAATATTACTTGAAGCATTTATGATCGGGGACATGTGAGCCAAAATGCTGTTATTAGTGCCCTCATTTTACAGGATGACACATTCCAGTACATCCATTTCTGATGGATTTTCTAAGTGTAGCTTTGGATTCATTACATTCACAAAATAGTTCCAGTTCAGGCCTAAGTTACATATTAGGAATACTTGGCTGTCTTTTAAAAACTGAAGCATCCAATTCTCTTTGATTCTGGGTAAAATAACATGTCAAAGAAGTCTCAGACTTATTTTTTGCTGTTTGTATTACACACATCTAACTTAAAACGGACACCCACTGCTGTTGTGTGACTCTGCCAAGGAGGAAGTACGTGCACACATAATGACAAGCCGAAACCATTAAGATTCCTAGAACTTAAGAGTTGCATCTGCAGAATGTGATGCTGTTTACCTTAACCCCAGGTCCACTCTGGTTGAGTGTGGGTGAGCCCTAGGGACTTCATTTCAAACTGCCCCAGCCTAACTCAATCCCACACTTATTTCTGATCGTCCCGTCACATACATTGATTCGCTCTGACTGACTTCTGGGTGACAAGCGTCATCATGCAAAAAGGAAGAAAATAGTCCAAACAAGGCAAGAGAAAGACAACAATTTTAGAAAACATGAAGAAACACCAATAGGGTTATTAATGTTGTTTGAGTCATCCTCTCCAAGACCCATTTCCTGCCCCATCCGTCCTTCCCAGGAGGCCTAGCTCCCACTGAGGCCGTAATGCTGTACATGACAATCAAAAGTAGGTATTGATCCTGCTGCCATTAACCAGCTGAGAATTGCGTGGCAGAAGCTTATAATCATGGGCCTCTATAAGCCTACCTTACAATCTTTAGCTTTCCATCCCTCTCCAGAGAGGGTTCCTTCCATCCCAGGGTCTCATTCTCTCTCATCTTCCCGTGTTGGCAGTTTGCCAAGGCTCAGGGCCTGATCTCTTCCCTTCCTCACTCTCCTTTCCTACAGAACTCTGATAAACCCCACAGAGGCACTGAGGGCTGCCCTGACTCAAAGTGACAGGAGCCGGGCCTTTGGGGGCATGTTAATGATGCTTTAGGAGGTCTATTGGTAGATGGGAAATAAATGGCTTTGGTACTAAGGGGAGCATTAATGAAGTAGAAGATGTAAAACAGGTCCAAGCAGCAGGGGGAAATGCCTGGTTTTAATCCTACTGCTTTAAGGCCAAAATGTGTGTTCATTGCTTCCTCCTGGCAATTCTGAGAACAAGGAACATATTACCATTAAAAAAACGATTCCCTCTGCTAGAACTAAAATGACTTAGCAATATCCACTGCTTTCTTAACAGTATAATCTGACAGTGATCATCCGGTGTTAACTTACCTTTATTATAGATCATCATATTCACTACTGTGAAAAGGGATCTCCTGCACATGTAATTCGATTGTTAGCACCTGGTCATGAGTGTGTGGAGGAAGATGTTACTCAAATGCAATCGTGTGTGTGCGTGTGTGTGTGTGTGTGTGTGTGTGTGTGTGTGTGTGTGTGTGAAACACATGCACATAAAAGGTGGCTTCAAAAAGTTTTTGGGAAAATTGAAAAGGTAATAGACTTTTCCCAGGAACTTTCTGAAGCCTCCTCATATATACACACATAAAATCTTCCTTGAAAAATTCCCTTTGCAGGAATATCAACTAAAGCATTTCCCTTCAAGATCTGGACCAAAGCATTTCATGTCCCAAGGCATTCATTTTTATGAGAAGGATAAAATAGTGAGCTTACATTAAATATGCACTCATATATAGGATCACCCTTTATTTTGAAAAGTCGTTTTACCTACCACCTGTATTCTCGAGGAGAAAAAAAAAATCACAGTACCGAATGGCAGTTACACTTCAGCAAAATAAATGACACTTCTATATTGATATTTCCTCCAACCTCACCCCATTGTTTTTTCCTTCTTAGTTTTGCAGACCTGGGAAATTCAAGTCTGGGGACAATTTTCAAAGTGACCAATACATTTTTATCTACTTTCCCCAGTCTCTCCCCTGACCCTCCCAACACCCCCCCTTTACCCCCAGGGGAGCCTTGGCAAGGAATACTCAGTGGCTTGATATTCTATATGCTAATTTGTATGTTATGTCTCTCCCATTTCAGGGGAAGGAATTGTGTGTGACCTTTTGTGATTCATTTGGGGGGTGTCCCCAAAGAGCTCTTCTTTTAATAGCTTCTTACATGCAGAAGCTCCTTGAAGAGATAGGCATGTGTTTTGTGCATTTTGATAACAGGTGTGTGTCTTAGGCATCAGTCTGTTCCTTAGTCTATAGACAGGCGTCATCACTGTGGCTTGAATTGGAGATCATTACATGTATATCTTCCGAGGGAGACCCAGTGCTATTTTGTGTGCACACAACAAGTAAAGCACTGTACATTCCTTGTAAATGTTAATATTTAAAGAAAAATTGAGTATGTAGGCACATACAATTATTTAATAATGAGTTTTTAAGTTAAAAAAAACATACACCTCTTTTTCCCCTTATTTTTTTCATCAGACTTGTTTGGGTTTACTTTGGTCAGGTTTTTAAACCCTCAAGTCTTGGCATAAAATCACGGTGTTCTCCCCCACCCCCTGAGAAGCCCTCAAGCCCACATGTCAGGTTTGTGTTCTGAGTGTGACCTTCCCGCCCTCTTTTGGTTGGTCGTGGCTTGTGTGTCAACATACTGTGACTCCGGTCACACTTAGAAAAGCTGGTGACCTGGGTGAAGTGTCAGGTACATGCATCAGTCACCTGGCACGGGGAGCAGCCTACTACGCATTCCTCTTCGCTTAGTTGAGGCAATAATTATCCCTCAGAACTGGGAGGCAGATGGATTGCTGCGTTTTAAGCTCGTTCTCCTTGGGGGTGCCTTGTAAACATGGCAGGTGGAACCAATTATGCCTATGGAGCACTGATTGCTTTATGGGAGACCAGTAGTTTCCCTAAGTTATTGCCATGTCTCTAGCATGCACACACAGAGGGTGGGGGTGTGTGTGTGAATGAGCTTTTGTGACTTGTGCCTTTGAAGAAACAAGTAATTGATCAATAAACAAAGCGGTAAGGAGCTGGGATACCTTGTAGCCTCATCACCAGGAAGATATTTGCAGGAAGAAATTGTTTTATTTTTAAGTGTCTAGGAAGAAATTCTCTGAGTGCCAGTGACCTGGAGGTCATCATTGTTGCTATTTGTGGGAGGAAAAATTAAAGCAAATTATAACCTGACTAGGGCATGACAGTGCCTCCAAAAATTTTCCAGGCCCTGACAAACAGAAATATTTCTGGTACGTGTTGGGCCAGTTGAGGAAACTTGGCGTCTGGACGGAGTCAGCCTTTGAACATAATGATTAGAACTGAGATGAACGGCTTAAAGTGAACTGAGCTGTAGTAGCGAATTATGCTACAGTTGGATGACTGCCAACCCGCTAAACCCTGCGACTCGAGTTATCATTTTAGTCAGCATGGGACCCAGGCACGGTTGCACGAGTCTATTTCAGTCTATTTCTGCCTGCAGAAACACGCACCTAACGGAACAGATTGCAAATGAAGGGCCCAGGTGATATTTCCATAAGAATATCCTAACAACAATTAGAAAGGAAAGGTAAAAAAAAATACCATTTATTAAAAAATCCTCAGCATCAGGGAATTTCAAAGGTAATCGTGGAATTGGACTGTGTCAGAAGGCACTTTGGAACTCAACATGCA